AGGGATGAAGAACAGGAGCTTGATTTAGTATTGAAAGAGGGTGGTGCAGGGCCCAGGCAAGTTGTTCAGGGGCGTCCCCACTTAAAATGTTTTCTCCTTAGTTTTTCTCTCTGCCTTCTCTTGTTTGGCAGGGCTAAGTAGGAGATCTCTGAAGATAATCCTGGGGTCTATGGATGGATGGATGGATGGATGGATGGATGGATGGATGGATGGATGGATGGATGGATGGATGGAGAAGACAATCCATTAGATGATTAGGTTGAGATGATTTGGGGTTCCCAGGCTTAATTTGGGGATTCAAACTTCTCTCTTCAATGTATGTGTTTTCCTGACATTCAGTCTGCTTTATATAAAAGCCTTCACCAGCCCTAACCCTAACCCTCAACATGTAGATGTGTTGGCTTGGCTGAGAACTTGGTGGGGGATTGGAATCCAAGACATCTGGAGACTAGCAGGTTGGGAATGGTTGGTCTTGTGCCGAGATGGTGACAGTCACATGCATCAAATGTAGAACTCAGCATGACCCAGCGAGCAAAATGATGCCTAATAAATATTGTAGAAAAGTATAGGGAAACCCAGGTAAATGTCTTCAAGCCTGCTCTTACTTCTCCTAAGAGGTTAGGACTTCCCCGGTGGGAAAAATTGGTGATGCTAGAAACCTTAGAGCTCTGAGTAACCGATGTGCTAATTTTATAGCGAAAGATCCAATGGATTTCGACTTGTCCGATGCTTTAGATGACCGAAATGACAGACACGCTGGCGGCGGGCCGCCTAAAGGAAACCCTGGTGGAGGTACGTTGATAATATTTCTGTTTTTCTTTGGTCAGGATGGACTTCTACCCTCCCCTTCTCTCTCCCCACATCCAGCGCCTTTGGGGAGAATGGCTGCCAGTGGGAGCCAAAAGCCTTTAAGATCAGCTTACCTGCTGGACCGAGACTCTGCTGTTTCCATGTTGCCCTCGGATGAAGCAGGATGGTAGCAACTCTTGTAGGCATTTCTGAGAAGACACCAAGGGCAGTTGTAGGAATGTCTGCAGGGAAGAGAGGAGAGTCAAAATAGTCAAGGTGGTGACTACAACCACCTCTTTTACACGCAGAGCTTCGACTGCATTGTTGGGGCTACCATCTTGACCACCCTCCCTGCAAACACTCTGGGGCAGTTGGTTCCCATCAAGCTGATGGAGGAGGTGGCTGGATGTCCAGGTGGTGATGGTGGTGGTGGATGCTGTGGATGGAATCAGTTTGAAGATAGAAGGTGGACGCCATGGCTCTGGAGGGTCCGCGTTTTGTGGTAGAAGGAATGCACTCACTGCCCAGACCTGAGTTTCTCAACCGTGGCATCTTTAAGACATGTGGACCTCAACTCCCAGAATCCCCCAGCTGGCTGAGGGATTCT